TGCCGAGCCGCGCCGGGCCGGGCCGGGTCAGGGGTACAGCGTGTAACGCCCGTGTGCGGATGGGCGTGCAAAGAAGGCCCTCGGGAGGGGTGCCCGCCGTGGGGGACACACACGAGGTGGGACGGTCCCCTCTGTGCCCTCGCTGGCAGTACCCCCCGCACCAGGTGTCTGCGGAGGGGACAGGGGGCCAAGCATGTTTGGTCGTTTAAAACCGAGATGGAGGTTTTTCTGAGGGGGCTCTTGGCTGACAGGAAGCCCAAGCAGCTACGCAGGTGAGAAATGGGGTGGGGGAGAGGTGATATCTCACTCTGGTAAACGATAGGGCAATAAGAGCAATTTTTATTATTTTTTTTTTCACCCAGAAATGCTCACTGCATTTTCATCTGCGGAAAGTCCCATCGCAGAGCCTGCAATCTACCGGGGAACAGGCAGCAAAGACAAAGCACTTGTTTACCAAGTCTGAGGTGAAAAATTAAGCTGGTAAATAGTTAAACGATGCTTTCCTGTATTTATTTTTTATTTTTCACTGTAAGGGAAGGTAACAGCTTTTGTCCCCTTCAGGCCTCCAAATTTCCTGGACCTCCCTGCAAATGCATTTTTCTTGCTTTTTTTCTTTTTCTTTTTTCTTTTTTTTTTTCATTCCAGCTTGTGGTTGACTGAAGGGACTGGCAGAACACTTTGTTTCTAACATCTCTTTCTAAAACCTCCACAGTGCCCCTTTACAGTGATAAAACGGTGATAAAGTGCAATAGTGGGACTGTGGCAACAACTGCCATTTGCTGCCAGGTAGCGAGATACGCAGTTAATTTACAACACAAGCCCTGACTGTCGTCCTGCCAGCATTTGCGCAGCGCATAAGGGTCGCAGGCATCGCTTGGCCCCCATTGCATCATTTTGTGAATGTGCACTTCCAGATGAGGAGGGAAAGCTCTCTTAAATGTGTGCCGTGGCTGGATAGCTTTGGTAGCATTTATTACATTATTATGAAGCTCCCCACTTCAGTGGCACGCAGTAAGTGCCATCATTCCTAAAGGCTTACATTACCTGGCAAAATGGCAAGCGTTTTGCTGTGGAGAGACTGGAAGAGGGGTAAAAGCTCTGCTTGACTATCAGTGGAGGAAAAAAAAGCCAGTTTTCAGTGCATAAATATATCACTTCCGAATTAGAGTTTACGATTAGGTGTTTTTCCTCTATCCAGAACAAAGCAGCCTGGGATGTATGAAAGTGCACAGTGTCTGCACAGATGTTTTCACCATGAGGCCCATACTGACACCTGGACTTGGTTTGTTGGTGGGCCTGTTCAAGCAGTTTCAGATTGCCTTTCCTCTGGCCACATTTCAAACCATGTTGGAAGGATGGTAAAGGAGAAGCATCTGTCCTCTGGGAAGCCTCTGAGATGTAGCACAGCATCTCAGTGAGCTATGCAGAGACATGGGACACCTAGCAGGTATGGCCTGTTCTTGGTCCCTGCTGCTCGGCAGGGATGGGTTCCCTGCTGAATAAATGCTGCCTTGCTGCTCTTTTCTTCTCAATCACATGGAGACAAAGTCAAACCACACATCTTTAAACCACTCATTTTATCTTTGTCTTGGAGCAGAAGCAGGACATGGGTGTTTTTTCCGGTGGTGTCTGCCAGCTGAGAGGCACAAGTGTCCCAACCAGCTGAGATCTGTGCTTCGAGAGGATGTGGAATGGACGTAGCTGAGGGTTTAGCTGTTTGGATGAGTCTGGTGTCCACAATGGCCCTGAGGTGCCTCACATGCTGCTCTTCTGTTTTCATTGCCCACATAGCTTCTCAGGGTGCACCCGGAGCTGCTGGAGCAGGCAGGCTGCATTGAACTCTCTGCCTGCATTATAAAAGAACAAATAATTGATGGTTTCTAGATCTTACAGACAGAAAGCTGAAAGGTGCAAAGCAAGTCCATCTGGAAGGCCCAGGCACCTGCCTGTGTTGATTTGTGAGTCTCTGGACTTGGGTAGTATTGTCTGTGTAAGAAAGAGTCAAGCAAGAAATACTAAACACACTAAATAAACTCAGTATATGTATTACTCTTAGTAGCAGTTGGTGACAAGGAGTAATAAATTTCTGTTCCAAAGTGCAGCTAGGGCCAAATGAAAATATACTGTTAAGTGGTACATGAACACCATCATTATGAAAATACATACCTTGGAGAGAATAAAAGTTGAACAAAGAGTACAGATCTGTACGGTGGAGGTGGGTTTTTGGGATGATTAATGCATGTGAAAATGAAAAATTTGACAGAGTTCTGCATATTTATCCAGTGTCAGAGAGCACTTTTGTATTCTAGCAGTGTGTGTGAGAAGCTAAGGAATGCAACGTATGCTGTTTGAAAAGCAGGGTGTTTTGTGATAGTGTGGAGGCTGCGTGTGAGCAGGTGGCTGTGCTAGCCTGTGAACAAGAGGACAGAGCTGATACTGCTCTCAGGCAAATAGTCAGAGGGAGGTTATCGGCGTAAATAGTGGTGTTTGCTTTCTTTGCTTGGCCAGTGGTTTGTTGTCCCTTGGTGGGTGAGGTGGGGTTTCTGTTTGCTCAGGGGCTTGAGTGGCAGGAAAGCAGTTTGTGCTCACCAAATCTTCCCTTGAACTGAGAAGAGGCACTCCAGCTGGGTTTTAGTTGGGTATATGGGTTTGGATGAGACAGATCTGTCCTGCTTTGGGGATGGCAAACAGCCTGTTTTCCCAAGGGTTTAATTTGGCTTTGTAGAACTTAACTGATTTTTGTGATGAGCCCATGTTTAGAGGCTGTTGGAATAGGCTGTGCTCTTGCACATGTCCCATCATTTATTCAAAGGAAATTAGGCCTCACAGGAGCTTTTCCTAGTGTTTTAATCCATGCAGAAGCTCTTGAGTCAAAAATGCAGTAACATCATATGGGAAATCATGGAGAGGAGTAAATACTGGAATTACACATACTAGATAAAGATTATTTCTAAATAATACTAAAGCCTCCATTCAAGCAAATAAAAATCAGGCTTAATTAGCAATGTACTCTGCTGCATTAATAAACAGAAGTAAAAGGTGGATGAAGCCTAATCATAAAACAAAAGCTGTAGTGTTTCAGGTTTTGCTGCTATCAGGAAGATAGGCCAGATTCTCTTCTCTTGAGACTGCAGGATGTAATAGCAATGCTTTTAGCTTGGCTGACTTCTTATTATAAGTCTGTTCTCTGTTGTTGTTTCTTTTCCAGGCAGCACACAAAGAGGAGCGTAGAGGGAGCGGGTTAATTTGGCCATGCATTAATTTGTTAGGGTAGGAAGATGACGAGCTAATACTGCAGCTGCTTGGGGGCCTGCAGCAGGGTGGGCTGGTGGGCTGAGCCAGACATGGACTAGGAAACACCTACCAGAAATACAGAAAACTCAAGTGCAAACCCTGTTCAGTCCAATTTGGGGCAACTCTGGCTCAAGATACCAATCGGCATCTGTGGTGAATGTTATGACAGTGTCTGATACAAATCTCCCCCATCCCAGTGTGTGAGTCTTATTGCTCTTGAAGCTGTTTTGGGGAAGCATAATATTGTGGGAATATATAATATGGGAGTATTTTCCTTCAGGATCCTGTTTGTCAGGCATTAGATGTCATTTTTTTCCCAATTATCTCATGATACAAGACCTCAGTCTTGCAAGCGCTTACATATGCCCGTACACCAAGTGTCACAGGATTACGTGCAGCAAAGCTGAGTACTTGTGAAAGGGCTTGCTCAGGCAAGGCTCAAAATGACCTGTCTCAAATACTACCAAAGAGTAGAGTCTGGAGTTGAATACAGTACAGGGTGTTTCTCAGTGGTTAGTGCTATATCCAGTCTTCTGGCTTTAAGGATTCATGGCAAGCTACAGGGTGAAGCCTTTTTAGTGTATTCTTTAAGAAGAAGAGCTGCTAAGCATTGCCCTGATGAACCTTGTTCAAAGCCTGCAGCATGTGGCCCAGGCCACTTGCCACCAGTTACAAAATCTCTGGAGTAACTTCAGTAGCTGGGCTGATGAAAAGGCTAGACAGAAATACGCCACAGTAACCAGAGAGACTCAGGAGCTCTGATGCAGTTTGAGTTTCCTTTTCAATCCTTATCAGCTCGAAGCAGGTTTTGCTTTACTGTTTTCCTTGGAGGTCCCATTTAAATCACTTACCCTGGGTTGCAACGCTGTCAGTTGACTCTCCTCGTAATTCCATGGTCAGGGTTCCATAAAGCTGCAGAGATGATGACTGGGTTGTTAACTGTTCAGGTGGTTATTCAGAAACACCAATGAGCTTTGCACATACAATTCGACCTGCGTTTTGAAGGTGACATCCTCAGTTCAAGCACTGCCATAAGTGGTCAGGTTTTCATTTCCAATGCTTTTCCTGCAAAAGAAACAATTTTCTGGTAATAGAATAAATATTGCAGGTTTTGGCTTGAGATACTCTCATGATGCTCTGGATTATGAATGAGACCCAAAGTTGCATAAACTGAACAACAATTTATTTTCTGAATGTTCTCATTCCTTTCCTCGTGGAGGCTTGTTCCTGTCTAAACATGGAAAGAATAATAAGAATAATAAAAGGTGAGAAAAGAGCAAAGCAGTATCTCAAAGAAAGGTTATGTGGCAGGACCAGGCTGTTTTGGACCCAGCCCTCAGCGCAGCTCAGCTGAACAAGATGGAGGTGGTGATGGGGTCTGCTGGTGATGTGTGAGGTACAGATGCAGGGAGAAGGCATGATGCTCAACATGCAGCTCTCTGTGTAATTGAAAACGTGACTTTTTCAGCTAAAAAGAAAAAAAAAAGTATCCAGTTTTGGGAATCTTTCCATGTCTCCTCAAGCTATTCATTTCAGAGAAAGAATTTCCATTAAAAAGTAAAGGGTGGGAATGGTCTCTCTCTTTTTTTTTTTTTTTTTTTTTTAGTTGCAAAGAAACTGCATTATCCTCAACTAATACCAAACTGCTTTACCTTTTCTCTTAATATAACCATTTCAATTACTGACCCTTTCCCAGTGGAGCTCGTTTTACAGTCCTCTCCCCCTCGTCCCAGCTCTCTAGACGACCGCATTGGATTAACTTTTCCCCTTGGATGAGGTTTCTGCGAGGCTGCGGCTGTGCGGGGATGCAGGCCGAGGGCTCCCGCTAGAGTGCGCTAGGACGGTTCAAATAGACACGGCGCGGCTGGCATCAGAGGGGAAGCATCAAAGATGCCTGTATA